TCCAATGGCCCCTGCTCCTATGCCCCCTCTAGCTCATCTCATCCTGAGCACATCCATCAAAGATTAGAAAATAGTAACAATAGCTCTCTCGCGCTCATACATATATATTTTACAAACCCACAGCCTCTGGAGGTATTTGGTGTGACTTTTCTAAATGAAAGCTGAAATTAAATTTCTAGTCCTCATACCTCTGTCCCTGCTCCAATGCCCCCAGCTCCTGCTTGGTTATTGTGTTACTCGAGGTAACTGTAAGAAATGATTTCAGATGCCAATTAGCCACCTAAATTTAAAAGGGTTACAAAATGCGGACACCAAATTCTGTATTCATTCACCGGTGGCCCCTTTAAGTGGTCATTGGTTTGTGGCACATAAATAAATACTGAGACTTTTAAGTAAAATTTAAACCACAAGCTATATTAACATAGATAACAAACAAGCAAGAACGATTAAAAGACGCACACTAAAGATTATGTAACATAGTCTAGACGCAGGGAGGATGATTGGTAGTGTTGCTGGCAACCTCAATCCTTTGGTCCTTCCGGGCCTCGGGAGAGGAACAGCCAGGAGATCCCTCGAAGACGACTGGAATCGGGTACGCTGACTCGAGCCTTCCGCATGAACCATGAATCCTCTTCTCTGTTCTTTGGGACAGCTCGGACAGGTGATGGTGGCCTAAACCCTAGCCTAAACTAAAAAGAAAACCCTAACTACATCGACTGCCGATGTGCTTGGAACCGATGCTTTACTTTTTGGCCACATCAGGCTCCTGCAGGCTGATGCCATCTTTCATACTCCATCTCTAATGGACGCACCCCAGTGAGCACAGGAAGCCAGGAGGAGAGGGCCAATTTTCAGGGGAATGGGGGCAACTTTAAAAGCCACGGGGAGGGAAGGGGGTTCGCGAGCTGCACCCTGGGGGAGGAAGAGTCTCATGCGGCTCACAAGCTGCGGGTTGGTCACAGCTGTTATAGAGCAACTAAGGAAAACAGGTTACATCTAGACTGTGGAATTTTATCAGAAAAAGATATGCAAATTGTGCTCCGCAATTTGCATACCTTTTTCTGATTGTTTTTTCAGAAGAGGCCCATGTACACTGGAAAAAAACCCTTTTTCAGAAGAGCCCTTATTCCTTGTGAAATGAGGAATACAGGGGCTTCCAAAATACTGCGTCTGCCCTTCCGCAAAAAATTTCAGAAGAGCAGGCTCATTCCCTAGCTGTAGTCTAGACATAGCCAGGAGGCATAGATTCACACAGAGCAGTTCAAACCAAACCACAAAATACAATTACCCTGAATGCTGTTGGATTCACTTTCCCTTTTACTTACTTCTAATTTTCTCATTGTTCAGTCCTCTCCAATGCGCTGAATTCCTTGGAGACATGGCAGTCCTGCCTGGGTTTAAATCATTCTGTGTCTCTCAACTCCTGGTTTCTCTCTCCCACGCAAAGAAAGCAGGCAAAGAACCTGATCTAATTTGATCCAATTCAAATTTCAACCCTCTATCTCGATTGGTTCTCCTGGCCTCCTGGACAACACCCTTGCAAGGTACCTGAGCTTAACCACTTAGTCACCAGGTGCTGGTCAGAACTCCTCCTTCCTGTCCATTACTCTCTCAAATATTTGAACCTTTGGAAATGAACCATTAAGGGACCCAACCATTTCTCCAAGGCCATATAAGCTTCCAAACCCCTGGGCGACCCAGCCTGGAGTCTTGGCTGTCCCTGGGCAGCACCCTCCCCCCATCCCACTCCCTCTGGGACTTACCTCCATGACGATCACTCCGACGGTTGATTTTCCCACCCCGAATTGCTGTGCCACCGAGCGGTAGCTGTCTGGGGTGGCCAGCTTCCACAGCGCGATGGTGACCCTCCTGTCAACGGGGATGGGTGCCCGCAGCCAGGTGGTGGCTCTCTGTAGCGCGGGGGTGAGCCAGGCGCACAGCTCCAGGAACGTCCGCTTTCGCATGCGGAAATTCCGGAGCCATTGCTGGTCATCCCATTGTCCGAGGACCAGCCGGTCCCACCAGTCGGTACTGGTGTCAAATTTCCAGACTGGCCTCACCACCCTGGGGTGCTGATGCCATAGGGCCACCATGGCCTCCCTGGTGAGGGAGTCGAAGGTAATCTCTGCCTCCTCATCCTGGAACACCAGGGCACCGGCCTGCAGCATGAGCTGCAGGCAGTCGGACATGGCTGACAGGGGCCAGAGCAGGCACATGGCCACCCATGGGTCCATGGCAGACAGGGCAGGACAGAAGAAAGAAAACGCAGGAAAAAGCAGTTGGGGGCAAAAGGGTGGTGTCCCCAAAAGTCAGAGGGCAACCACCAAACCTGCTATGGCTGTCAGTCCCTGCCAGAGGTCCCAACGCATGGAGCGGGAGACAAACGGCTGTCCGGCGAGACCCCTTTAAGCACGTGTCTGAACGGAGCTCCGGCCCCACCCCCAGAAAGGTCTGGTGGCCTTTTGCCCTCTTCAAAATGGTTCCGGGCTTCTTCTTTTGCGAAAAAGCGCGCCGCCAATCTAGATGCGCTTTTCCGCAAAAGCGCATCGTTATAACGATAACTCTGGGACCAATCTAGACGCGCTTTTCCGGAAATACTTTTAACGGAAAACCTTTTCCGTTAAAAGTATTTCCGGAAAATCATGCCAGTGTAGACGTAGCCAAGATGTTTACAGGAGAAACTGTCCATTCTGTCTCATCTTGGCTGTGATAAAGCTAATGCCATTTGCATAAAATTAATAGTTCAAAAGAGGTCATAGATTACAGTAAAATACCAAGACATCTTCACCCTGATCTTCAGTTGCCATAAATCAGCATAGCTCCATTGATTTCATTGGATCTATGCCAGTTCACAACAGATGAAAATCTCACTCAACACTATAGCCTTTATAGTTGTGTCAGACTGGAACTTGAGCCTTAAATCAGATTTCCTTGTTTTTGTGAGTTTTAGTCACAACCTAAATGCTATTTTGAAGAACTTATTTTGTCACGAGGAAGAAGTTGATCTGAAAGTTGGAGGTATTCCGACCCTTGCAAGTGAG